TTTATTCAAAAATAAAAACATCATCGATTTCTCAAAATCACATAAAGTCATATTATAACATCGACTGAGATAAAGAATAAAATAAAATATTAAAATCAAATGGTTGATAATGAAAAAGAAATTATGAGTAGAGAAATAACATATTCAAGGTTAGAAGAATATTTTAATATACCAAAGTATCAACCCGACCAACCCATACGGGTTGGGTTGGGTTGCAATTTGGTTTGGGTTGGGTTGGGTTAAATTTTTTCCAAACCGCAAGCATTGGGTTGGATTGTTCAAATGTCATCAACCCGATAACCCAACCCATGAGCATCCCTAGTGTGTATTATTAATATATAACAATGGTAAGTGTTTGGATCATTTCTTTTGATTAGTCATAAGAATATAGTTTTGAAATATTGCTAAGAATAGAATTAAAAATGAATATTAAAATTTAATTAAATAAACATACCTTAAATTGATGATGAATGGAAGTATTTGTGGTGGTATTGCTAAAAATTGCGTTACTCCCACCACCACCACCAACACGCATGAGTTTTGGGAGGTTAGAAAGATAGAGCTTATGCAAATGAGGGAAGAAACCATTGCTTGTGTTGGCAGATGTAGATACAACCCTAACTTCATCTTCATCGTCTCTGTTTGAAACAACTTCTTCAATAACATCACAATATGAAATGCTAATGTGCTTTAGGTTGGAGAGAAGTTTGGCCATGAGAGGTGAAAACAGATACTTTATGCTGTTGCATCCATGAAGAGATATGTTTGCGAGGTTGTGGAATGAGGAGGATCCTTCTGGTTGTTGTTTTTGAGGAATTAAGAATTTATTCCAATTGCACCTCCACACATGACTCATACATTCCATATATGATAATTCTAAATCCGTGAGGTAGGGAAGAAGTAGTGATCGTTGAGTATTGTGCAAAGTTGTTGCTATTTCTCTATTACTTGGAGTTTCTATCTCAAACACCCCCTCCGCTCTTTTATGATGACGTATATGAAGTGTACGGATGTGATGAAAAGTGTGAATGACTTTGGATGAAAATACAACAGCATCACCAACTTCTGATATCTCTTCATTGGACGTCACATTAATCTGCATATGTGTATCCCAACAACAAATGTAGTTAGTAACTTTCATGAAACAAAATAAAAAATTTCGAAGATTAGAAGAAATGGAGAGTTTAATTAATAAGCAAAAGAAGTTAATTAAATAGAAAACGAAATCCATGCATACATACCTCGCCTCTCCAACTTTTGCGACAATCAATTTCAAGCAGTGAAAGTGCTCGCATATCAATATTGGTGGTGGTAGGTGTGAATACATTTCTAAACCTCTTACACCTTTCTATCTTTAACCTTTCAAGAGTTTCAAAGCCACCGATGATGAGACTAGAGTTATTTGCACCTTTTACTCTCACCACTTCTCTTAGCTTCCTTAAACCACACACTAGAATGGTTCTCAAGCAGCTACTAACTTCCTCTATTTTACCAACACATCCAAAGTCAATGTTGAATAACACTTCAAGTGAATCACAATCCTCAACGGTAACTTCTTGTAGATAATGCAACAACGACATCGGATTGCTTGGAAACAAATTCACAAGACTATCACATCCCATCACTCTAATCTCTCTCAACATGCAAACATCAACTTCTTCACTACTGGGCCATATCTCTATCAAATTCTCCATATCATCAATATCCAATTTCTCCAACCTAGGGATCATAACCTATAAAACAAATTAAGCATTGTAAGAATTATTGAAACTAGAATGCAACTTCTTTTTGAACATTTATAATTGAAAAGATTGTAAGAATTTATATCAACTGAAAATGTATATACCTTTTCCTTAAACAAAGACTGTCTTTCAGAAGGATCACCGGACATACAAGTAGTTGCCAACTTATTGATGGGATAAATGCTTGTGAACTTTGCAAGGCCTTTAAGTTTCAAATCCCTGAGCTGGGGTAGCTCAATTACATCGACTGCGTTGCAGAAACTCTTTAGCTTTGGTAGCCCACGCAAAGATAGAAACTTTAACGCTTCAAATTTAATCACCTCAACTCCACTGTTCTCACCATCTACGAGTGTTTCTAGATCAGGGCATGAGGAAACTGTGAGYTGCTCAASCTTCTTGAGACCAGTTGCCACACGGGATGTGAATAGATATCTCAAGTTTGAACACTTATAAATATCAAGGACTCTCAAATTATTAAATGGATGATGAAGGRAGGACTCCACTAAGCCATCTCCAAGATCATTTATTCCATCCACTTGTAAATAAAGCACCTCTGTTTTTTCAAACAACTCATACATCCTAAAATCTATTAGTTCACATTTGTTACTGACCAACCTCAACGTATTTCCGAACAAGTACTTATTTTGGTCTTCATATTCACGCAAATAACATCCCAAACAAATCTTGAATCTTTCGAGTTTCGTAAATGACATATTCTTAAGCGGAGCTTGGAACTCAATTTCTAAAGCTATAAGGTTTTTCGAACACCATACCAATTCATCAACATTGGCATCTGTGAATCTAATGGCCTTTTTATCTAGCTTGGACTTTTGGAGGGTTGAAGCAACTTTCATATAAAGCTCTTCAAGTTTGACCAAATTTTTCAAAACACCATCATCGATATGTAGATCAATACAACCTGTAAGATCTAGTAACTTTAGCTTCTTCAATTTTCCAATTGTGGAAGGTAACTCTCGAATGCCACAATTAGCAAAGCTGAGGACTTCCAAATTCAAAAGATCCCCAATAGAAGAGCAATCAAACATGAATGAGCATTCATGGAGACAAAGTGTTCGGAGGTTGGTGGAGCATTGGAGTGATTTGGGAAGCGGTGGATATTGCATCTCTTCATATGCTATAACTTTAAGATTTTTCGTATTTTCATAAAAACCTTGAGGAAACTCAAACGAATCATCTCCGTGCATAAGTTTCAAAAGGGAGATGCTTTGGCACTTGAAGCCTTTAGGAAACTCACACATACCCCTGCATGTTAATGAAATTCTTTTGCAAGACTCGCTTAGGTCTACACCACTCCACTTTGACATATCTCCATGGTTAATAATGGAGACATGATCACCTTTAGAAACAGTAGCTAGCACAAAGGCAAGCACAAGATCATGCATTTTGACACACCCGAAATAATCACTATCGATCAACAAATTTGCCTTTTTGAGATTGCGCACACATGCTTTTATCCTGTTTCTGCCATCTTCCACAGTTGAAACTCCATTTAGCAATTTTAGTCCCCATGCATATCTTGTCAGATCCTCGATTGGAATATTAGCGTCCTCCGGGAACAAGCCACAAAGCAGAAAGATCTCTTTATCCTCTTCTTCTTTTAGATAGTCGTAGCTTATCTTGATAATTTCATGAACACTTGGATCAAGATCATGCTTCTTCAAACACCGTAGTCTATCTTTCCATATAGATTTTTCTTCAGATGTAAGTGTAGCGGCAATAAGTTTGATTGCAAGGGGCAAACAACTACATTTTTTGACAATTTCACCTCCTATTTGATAGAGCTCTGGATCGTATACTTTTGAAATTCCTGTGATTTGACACAATAATTTGTGTGCTTCTATCTCCTCCAAGACATTCACTTTAAGTATTATGAGATCTAGATTACTTTCAATTGCAACACTTTTGCAAATATCCTCATATCGTGATGTGAGCAACAACTTGACACCATTTGGCAAAGGACTCAGTCCAACATCTTTGAGTTCAACTTTCTCCCATATATCATCCAATATAACTAGAATTCCGTTTTCAGCTTTTTTCAAAATTTCCACAAATTTCATTTGAAGACGATCGGCCCTTGTTGCTTTAGTTGTTTCAATTAGAGGATCGCCCAAGTTCTCTGCTACAGCTTGCTGAATAGAAAGTGGATTAGGTTCTTTCCCAATAACAACCTTCACAATCCAATGAAACATCTTCTTATCTTCCACAACCTTTTTCAATTGTTCCATCATCATGGTTTTCCCCACACCACCCATTCCACATAGGGCTATCACCTGAATATTTTGATCTTGTTGAAGGAACTTCAACGCATCCTTAAATGTCGTATCTCTTGACTTGAAGTCATCTCCAATACCACCACTTGATGGTGCAGGCGTAGATGCCCTTCTAGTGTAGACTCTTCCAAGAGGTTTTTGTGCATCTGTCCAACTGATCTCACGACGTTCTTGAAGAAGACGTTCGATCTCCTGAGTTGTCTTCCAGGCATTTCTTCCCATTTGGTACCTCGCTTTCATATTAAAACATCTGTATTCATTTCTTGAAATGGTTTCAGCATCACGCTTGATCTTTGCGACTTCTTTCAACCAACCTGGTACACGAGCAGGTATTTCTAAAGTGTTTATGTTGTTTCTGTCCTGGTGGTTTTCGACATCAACGCTTTCACCCTCCAATTGCTTCATTCCATCACCCAAATCCGTAACATGTTTTCTGGATAAGAATAGATAGCCCAGGTGTTTCTTGACAGGAACGATTAAACATTCAAAAATAGGACCAATGATTGCAGATGCAAACTCCACCATATTCCAAAATTCTTGCTTTTGGAAGGACCTACATAAAAAATTTGAATGGAAGTAACATGACATAGTTGATTTCAGCACCATCATCATCTGCTTGATAATTGGATTTAATTTCAAAAACTAGAAATATTAGAGTTCACTTCAAAACACACGCAGATGCTTAGAAGACAAACCAAATTCATGTAACATTTTAAACACCTAATGACTAAAACTCCATGTTTATAATATCAAAGAGAAGTGTATTTCAAGGTCATCAGGTGACCCAGAGAGAGATGGATGAAAATTGAAAAGAGTAATTAACCTGTAAATTAAAAGATGTAGTTCATCTCATAATCTAAAATGAATTTAGAGATATGAAAATGAAACACGAAAGAATAACAGAAGATTCAGTTACCAGAAAATGGTGGATGGCTCTGCTTATGATTTTCTTCTTTGTAAACAATCAGGGCCCGAAGAACAAGATTGTGCATCAGTTGCAAAAAGAGAATTACAAAAGGGGTTTCGGTTAAGAGTAAACTCTAATTTTGGTCCTTGTATTGAAATCTTTAAAAGTAGGACAACAACTTTAATAAGTCTAGAAATTGTTGTCGTAGTTCTTATTTTGCTCCATTTATCTTCTCTGTTAGTGGAAGGAACATTTTCGTCCATTTAGGTTTCCCTTTCTTTTTTTAACGAGACACACAAGACAATAATAATTGTTGGTCACTATTGATCAATCTTCTGATAAGCTTCAATAATACATGGCAGATCTGGATTTTCAATCAAGAACACTATGAAGGAGATTGAGAGAAAAAGTCAAACCTTTCAAACTTGGTCAAACTTTATATTACGTACTGAATATTACGATGGAGCTCTTACCAAATTTACAAAAGACAAACCCTTTATATAGGGTCAAACTTGAAAGCCACTAGTCAAAGTCAAACTTTACAGAAAAATCAAACACGGTGACTTTACAACAATTATAGACAAATTTATCTTTCAAAGCGAATACAATTTAACACTGATTTTCAGTCTTAACAATAATAAACCCTTCGATTAAATACCTTTGACACCCCTCTTAAACTCAATCAAAAACCCTTTGTCGTCCTCTTTCATCCAATCAATCAACCAATTGTTTCCTCATTCGATAGAAAAACGCAAAAACCAGGTTCAATCCCTCATCCAATCAATCAAATTTGTGATACAAAAGGGGGTCAATAAATAAATATGAAAAGGAAAAAAAACGAAAATAAAATAAAACTGGGTTTTATTTTTGTGGGCGAAAAATGTGAAGAAAACGTGAAAAGGGGGGTCAATCATATCATTTAATGAAAGTGAGAAGTGAAAAGAAAAGAGCTTATGTTCAATTGGACTAAAAATGAAGAAAACGTCTGATTGAAGGTAAAATACATAAAGTTGACCAAAGTATTGAAACCAGGGAGCCAAGTGTCATCTTTTGAAATTTTAGGGGCATGGCCAGATAGCGAATTTCTCATACATAAGGGACTTGTTATGACAAAAGAACAGATAATTGAAAACGACAACTCATTTGAAGTTTTCTGTTGGTTCTACATCTCAATTATTAAGACAAAAAAGTTTCAGATATATGTAGACAACATTTTCCTCTACATTTTTTGTTCAAGAAAACCGAAGTTTCGTCGGGTTTGGAAAAAGAAATCGGAGGTTGAATTTCGAGTTCGAAAAGCTCCGTTTATTAACGATTGGAAGTAAACTACTCAACCAAATTTCAAGTTCTTTATATCGTTATCTTCGTTTTTTAGGTCCTCTATGGAACCTTAGTAGTCTTATGTCTCATATTTTAGTTTTAGAGGTCCGATTTTGCGTTTTTTACTGATTTTCGAGTGGATTTAGGACTTGAAATTTAAATGAGTAAAATTGATTATTGTTCCTAAATCCACTCAAAATTGTTGAGGAAAATCTTTAACTAGGGTTTTCGAAAAAATAATTAACAAAAACGGACCAAAAATGAGGCCAAACGGCCTGAAAAACGTCGTTGTCGTCAACAGCCTTGTGTCGGGTCAAAATCTTGGATCCGGGTCGGATGGTTTGGGTTCTTGGGTCTGACTTGGATCCAGGTAAAATTGATATTCGGCCAGATACTTTTTGAGCCGAGATATTTCCCTCTTTTGGACCAAATGGCCTTTGGCCTAGCAATATATGAGTCATTGACCACCAAAGGTGAGGAGGGTGTGTGAGTTTATTTATTCTATTTGTCGTATATAAATATTATATACTTCAAAAAAAATTCCCTCTTTTGGGCCATTTTCTCTTTTGAACTAGCATTTAGGCCCATATATCTTTAAGTTATTTAGATAATTAATTAGGCCAACAATTAATTATTTTAGGCCTCATAAGATACCATATTTATTTATATTGGGTATTTGCTTTATTTTGGACTTTGATTGATTAAGTTATAATTATTTAGATTATTTTAACTAATTAGTTCAGTTTCTAAATTAATTAATATATTAATTTAAATTATTATTTAATTGATATATTAATTATTCTATAATATTAATACCAATATTAATTAAATAATTGTTTTTGAAGGAGAAAAGTTTATAATAAATTATTAAATTACTTTGATGATTTAATCATGAGATTAAAGTGTCATATTTGAATTGAGAATTTATTGAGGTACTTTAATTTGGAGAGATGGATTTATAAGTTTATAAAATGGTTTTTTTATGTTTTAGGATGTCATTGAATTTTAGACTTGAGATTTGACTAAAGTTAGTCGGGGTTGACCAAAGGTTTTCTTTTGATACGTTTGACCCATATGGATTTTGATTATGGGTCAAATAGAGTTGCTTGAGACACATTAAGATGCTCATGTACAAAGTTTGACTTTAGGTCGGGTCAGAATGACCACAATTGATTTTTTTTGACTTTTTGATATAGTAAACCGTTAATGAGATATTATGGTATAAAATGTGTAGACATTTGGTCAAAGAGTTATCGATAGTCAATCTACACGCAATGAGGTGAGTCTTCATGAAGATTACAATGAGATGCATACATACGTACAAATTTATTTTCGAGCATTATATGATTTTTATGGTGATGTGTATGTATGCATGATGTTTCAGTTTACATACATGATTCAATATATTTTACATGTTTGTTATTTTATAATTAGGTTTATGTTATGTGTTTAATTAGTTTTCAAATAACTCTAGCATGCTATTTCATATGAAAGTTTTATGATCAATTTTAGCGGGTAGACATTTGATCAGTAAGTCATACGATAGATGGCATGACCCCGTAATAGGTGTCCAGACAAGTACAGGTCAAACAACTCAGAGAATGTCAGTGACTAAATGACTCAGACCCGACAGACAACTTATGAACTCTTTTCGTTCAGTGTTGCATGTTTCTTAGAAAATGCATATTATTTGGTACAGGGTTTACAAGTTGATATGTATGATGTGAAATGATTTGTATTCACGCAAACCATAAACGTACTGAGTTTTATAAGTTGACTATAGTATGCATCTCCAGGACAAAAGGTTTCAGTTTGGACAAAGGAAAAAAAGTAGACATAGAGACTTGTTTAGTCCATTTAAGTTCACTATTTATGTGCAATCATTTATGATATATTTGTAAAACAATCCGGTATAGGACGAGCTGACATTAAGTTACATATTTATTCTTTTTAAGTCTTGCGCTGTAAACGGTCTAAAGTTTTAGTTTAGACATCATTTTGGAGTGTTTTTGAAGAATCTGTTTAGATTACGTAACATTTCTTAAGATAAAATTATAGGTGTTACAAAAAATCAGTTTATGATTTAGAGCAAAAACTCACGATATGTCTTGTGGATTTGAGAAGAGATATTAAAGCAAATATGATCAACAACTTTTTAGTAATATTAAGAGCAAATAGAGTAATATTTTAGCATTAATGGACATCAGCTTTTTGGTCATCAAATATGGTATCGGGGCTTCATTTTGTGTGTATACCATCTATGTGTAGCTTCTTTTTTGCTGCCAAGTTGTTGGTCCGTTAAATATGGTTGTCAATTATGGTCAAGAGCAGGGGCGGATCTTGCCCTTATGAACTAGGGGAAAGGCCCCTAGTCAAAGACCAAAAATGTTTGTTGACTAGCTTAAATTTTCTATTTTTACTCTCGTCTTACATGGTTTTCCCCCAGTCTCATTTGACCATATGCTTGTCTCCCCTAAGTCCCATCCAATGTGTCCCCACCCCATTAATTTCCTAGAACTGCCACAGGTCAAGAGGCTTCTTTTTGCTTAAATCTAGTTCAACTTTTTGTGCACGCCATGCTACTGGTATTAAATGATATGAATGATATTACATGCTGAATAAACACGTTCCACTCACCTTTGATTTAAGACAAGTAGCATATTTCAACTTGATTTAAGCCCCCCATGGTTAGACTATAAATTATAGGTGCCATTCTTTTTGCACAAATGTTTCATTCAATTTTGCACACATGGTACATTTATTTTTTTGGTAGTAAAAACGTATCACCGTCTTTTTTCTTCAAGATATGAGGGTTTTTTCAATCCTTGTCTTTTTCACTCTCTTGAAAGACTGAATTTCAGGGACACGTGTTAGTGTAAGTTTGTGAGCACAATGTAAAGACCATTGTGAACCAGTTTTCATACAGCCTTACGCTTACGAGTAACCGTTGATAGTCCTCCTCTTTAAACGACGTATTTCTATCGAGTAACCATCAATTTCACCCCCAAGCCGAGATCTGGTTTCTTAGATCTGAATTTCATGGACGGTTTGGTTTAATGTTTTTGATTTGGGACGAGATATAGGCAATGGATTTGTTGCAAACCTTAGGGACGGTTTTTCTTTGATAGTTTCTCATTCAAGGACGGTTCTGTTTGATGTTTGGCTTAGTTTGATTTATGCTTTTATTTTTTTAGAGTTTGATTCAATATATTCAATTTTGCATTAGAGTTTAATCAGGGTTCTTCATGTTTTGATGTTCTTCATATGGAGAAGATGAACATTGAACAAAAAAAAAGGAAAAACAAAAGAAT